ATGTCATTTTTTATACTTTTGATCCACTCTGGTTTATTCTCAGGTTTCCAGCTAAAGAATCGGGTTAACAACATCTGCCTAAATGAATATCCTCCATGTCTGATACTCATTAAATGTTGCTTTAGACGCATGACTCATTGATTTGTTTGCATAATAGGGGCTGAAGCAGTGCATTATAGTCCCTTTAATTCATGTTCAGGGCACATTTAACAGCCGAGAAGCCGCCCTGGAAATCAGTTCTGTCCTTGAAAGTGAATGAATCATTCAACCGTTTGTGGTTTGTTTCCAGGTGAACTCTGAGGCGTGTTTGCATTAAAACCTCCTGCGGTTGCTTTAAAAACGTGCGTTTTTTTGTGTCTCCGCACGTGCAGATCCTACGTCTGCGTGGGAGTTGGCTGTGAACAGATTGAAATGAATCAACACTTTGTTGCCTTCGCTGTGAATTGCCAGTGTCCCTGAGTTTCTAACCCAGCCAGAATAAGCAGCGTTCGGTAAATTGGCGCCTCTTGTTTCTGCACTTTGATCAATGAACGTAGAACCGGGAGGTCCTTGAGGTTTGGTGTGTCTTTTAAACCCAGCAGGAGATCTGCTGCTGCTACTTCTGAGGCTTAGGGCGTGTGAGAGGGCATCTCCTCTGGGCTCCATGAGTCACACACACGCTATAAACCTGGGAAATTCACAATCAGCCCGGCGTCAGGTTCTGCCTTTACTTTAAAGCCCAGCTGACCTTTTTATGCCTTTTCCAGGTGACAAATCCACTGACTAAAAGGGAAAAAGCTAAACAATTTCCTGTTAAGATGGTCAGAGTAGATCAAATTTTGCACTTTCACATATCTGACCTTTATGAATGTGTTTAAATCAAGTATCTAGATTTTTAAGAATCGTAAAGATCTTTTTCCAAAACCAAAAACCCCGACAAAACTCACCAGCTAAGCCTAAAACAAAAAAAAATATTAAAAAATTACTTTCCAATCAAAATGTCATAAAATGTTTACATACACCCTAATGGGATTATTTCTGTTCATCTGTGACGAATACGTGGAGAAAAACACAAAAACTCAATAAATTAAGGAAAAAACGTAACTGGTAAAAATAATAAATAAATAATAAAAACCTTCTCCATTGGTAAGAAAAATGTCAGAGTAAAGCTCTTAATATGGATCTGAATGAGATGTCTGCACATGCTATGTTGAACTCACATACTGCCACTGCATTAAAACCAAATTTAAGGTCAAATAGAAACAACATGGTGGGTAAATAAACCCAACAGCAGCCAACCAATTGAGGCAAGATGACATGGGCAAATATACACCCAAAGAACAAAGAGACTATATGAAAAAAAGGGGGAAAAAACAAGTATTACGATCAGAAACTGAGCAGGTCTCCAGTTACTTGACATATTTACTACAGCATTTTTTGTTATTTTCTGTATGTTTTGTATGTCTTTTTGTATTGTTTTATGGCTTTGTTGTAAAGCACTTTGAGTACCATTTGGGTATTGTAAAGGGCTATACAAATAAAATTGATTGATGGATTGATTGATATTTAGCAAAACTGGGACTTAAGTCTTAATTACGGTCATTTTAGTGGTTGAAAATGAAAAAAAAAAAACGAGTGTTGGTTTGAAACTTTATGATTGAATCACCTCCTTTTGCAAATGAAGCTGCGGTGTTTAATGTGAAAGACGAGACAATTAAAAAAGCTCCTTTCTGCTGTATTTAAAGCTTTCAAAGAGCTCTAATGACGACTGATGCTCACACACTTCTGGGAAAAGGGATTCTGACAGGACTCAAGATGACTGACAGGTTTGCTTAACTAGAATAAAACAAAGAAATAGAAATCAAACAAAAAAGAAAGCCGGGTAAGAAAAGGAATCTTGAGCAAATGAGTGAAAAAAAAGTAAAGCAAGTTCTACCCCTTAACCAATAGACTGTGAGTTCCAGGAGATCCAAACCCGGCCTATAGGAGGCAGATAAAAAAACAAGCAGCGGGCAGCCAGACGAGGGCAGAAAGCCGGTGATACGAGAGACTTCCAGAGAATCAAATATATACAGCTGACGGACAAACAGGCGACTGACAGACAGAATAAAGCAAAGATCAGAAAACCTGCAGGATAAATGCAGAGAGACGGTTCAAACCGGGGCAGGTGTGGAAAACCGGAGGTGAAAATCAGACGTGCACCCTCCACAAAAGAGCAAAAAAAGAGCAAACTCAGAACTCAGAAAGGACGAGAGCAGCCGGCAGTTCTGTTTGTGTTCGGCTTCGTTATTAACGCAGAAATGTTGGTTATTTGAAGACTTCTGGGTCTCCACCTGAGACATCAAGGCCTCAGGAGCCTGCCTGACCCCCCCCCCGTGTCTGTGTGGACTCTCCCACCGCCCCAAAACAGGCATCTCAGGTTAATTGGACACTAAATTGGTCCTTGGAGCGGATGTGAGTGTGTGTGTGGTTGTGTGTCTCTGTGTGACTCCAGACCCCCCGTGACCCCGTTGGGAACAAGCGGTTTAGAAACTGGATGGATGGAAATAAGACAACTTAATTAAAATATGTTAATGAATTGCTAAACTGATCAAACAAATATGGAAATTAAAGAAAGAAATTAGTTCCATGTTTTTCCATTATTTTAGTAGCATTTATTAGCAAATTCATCTATCCATTAAACCCAATTTTGTTTTTATTTACCCTTTTTATTCCTGAACATTAACTCACAAAATTATTTCCCTTTTAAGATCACCACTTTTGGTCCTGTCCAGGATTTACCCCACTGGGAATAATGAGCAGGATCACCAAGTTTCATTTACAGTCTCAAATAAAATCATTTTAGGCTTCATTCTCTAGCTGGAAAGGACAAAGAAAAAAATAAAAAAAAGAAATCTGCTGATTAATTTCACTCCAGCTCCAACGGGGTGGACAGATGATGGTGTCGTTAACCATTAAAGAGTGAATCCATTACAGTCAACATCCAGGATCACACTCTGGATATAATGAGCCTCCCGCCCCTTTAAATGTCAAACGCACTTCACATTTAGAAAAGAAAAGGAACGGCAGCTTTTCAGATTCTGAGTGGTTTCTTGTGGAGATGTTTTCCGCCTCAGAACTGAGCGGAACGAATCGAGTCAACTTGTAATCACACTGTCACAAACAGTGAGGACTCTTTTTCTCTCGTTGCTTTCACCCAAAGGGCCGAAGACACCGCGAAAAAATTGTTTTGCAGCTCTCAGAGGAGTCAGAGTTCCTCCTCTTCTGCTCAGATAAATGGTAACATGCTAATCTGAGACATATCCATTTAGAAAGCAATTCTGAACGGGCAGAAACAACAGAATCATTATTACATGGCTGCTATAAAGAGGATATAGCCCCAATCATCCACCTCTGGATGAACGTTATGGTGCTATGAGTAACTTACATCACTTTGAACATGTTAATACAAGAATAAAAACCAGGAAAGCAGAAAAAAAAACAGTCAACAAGGCAACAAATTCCTCTAAATGGAGTAAAAAGAAGCAACAGCTTATTGAATCCTCCTTCACATTCGTCCCTCTGACGTCTCCTTTAAATGAGCCCAAACTATTAAATATAATTAGCAACATGTTTCTATTTCTATTAATCCAAAAGGGATTTTATATTTACACTTGTCCAGACTGGGAATCCTCCTTGAGCCCAAAGGAGCGTTATTAGTGTTGAATAGTTGCATGAAAAATAGGAAGAATGAAGAATTTTCTGGTCATTTTGTGGGAGATTCAGCCACTGACATGCAGGTGAAGCAAAGAACCATGGAAACGACGGGTCCAGGCATTCAGTGATGTCATCGGTCCTCGTGACGCACCGATGGGAAAAAAGAAGCTTTTTTTGTGGCTCATTTCATAATAATGAGATATTATTTTAGTGAAAACCTTTTTAATGATCTGATATTAACCTTAATTCTTCTTCTTCTCTTCGAAAAAAGAATAACAACTCTAACCTTAAGTTATCCCCCTACCAAAAAACCTCTGATATCACAGAGTAGGAATGTCAAATGAACCCAATTTAATTAGTACAAAGTATTTGGGGTGCAATCAAACATGGTCACGTGAGGGTTTAATTTAAAGAAAAAGCGGACAAAGCAGGGTTACCCCCCCGTACAGGGGGCAAAGGGTCACACCCACCTTTAGAACTGCACCACAGTAAAAAGTAAAAGGCTAAACTCAGGTATGAAATCAATATTATATAAACAGAGTATAATTAATCAGAGAACTGTCTAATTTTAATCAAAATATGGCATGAAAAAGACTGAGACGATCCGCTGACCTCAGATCTGCTTTCCTGTCTCCATAAGCATTCAGAAACTTGTGGAAAATCGTTTATCTTCTAAGATTATTGATCCATTTTGGCAAACTTTAGAGAGAAAATGATCTGGAGCCACAAATTCATTATCCAAATGGCTTTGAGTTGTGAGTAACTGGCGTCTAGTTAGTTGATCTGGTTATAAAGCTGCAAAAATAATTAATGGAAAAAGAAGATTCAAAATTCATACAAATAGCTGAACACCAAAAAGACATGAAAACCTCTCAGAAAACTCAAAATCACCCAAAAAAAGTCACAAAATTTTAAACAGAAATATACATTTACAGATTATTAGTTTAAATTTTGAGTTCCTTTGAGCCTGGGGGTGTTCATCCTGTTGGGGTTAAGACAGGTCCTTTTAATTTTGAACTCAATTTTGAACTCAATTTTGAACTCAATTTTGAACTTAATTTTAACAAAATTTTAACTCAACTTTAACTCAATTTTAACTCAATTTTCATTTTTAACTGGTTGATTTAACTCAACCAGGACGTTTGAAGTTTTGGCTTCCAGTCCTGAACAATGCTTTTTTTTTTAAATTTTTTTTTTAGCATTATGGCAGTAGAACTGAAATCTGAACAATGCTTTAAGTGAGGTTAACTCATTGACTCATTCTTTGAATCAGCCATCAGCCCAAAAGTTTCCAAACCACCCGGGAATTCTGCATCTTCCTCAGCCTCTCCTCCTCCTCTTCCTCCTTCTTCCCCAAACACCAGAACCGGCTCACCTGTCCAGGCTCACCTGTCCACGCCGGTCTGAGGATTTCTGCCGCCTCTCGTCTTCCTTCCTTCCCTCCGCGTTTCAGCCTCCATCTGCTCCCGCACCGACTGGTGCTCTCTTCTCGGCAGCATCTCTCAGAGGCTCAGGCTCCGGCTGGTAACTAGGTAACAGCTCTGTCTGCGCAGAGGAGGGAGGAGGAGGTTGCTCAGTCACATCCTCCCGCGTGCGTGTGAGAGAATCTCACCCCAGCCTTTTTTCGGTGGGATAACGCAGCACTAAGTGGTCCCTTTCTGTGTTTTTTTTAAATCAGTTGATCAGCGCAAACCAACAGATAAGTCTCTGTTTTTATTTGAGTCTGAAAAGTTTTGTAGCTGGAGCCTGGAAACCACCAGGAGCGTCTCCATTCACTGTTGTTTTCCTGTTTCTCCTTATTATTCTTTATTCCGTACGTTTTTCTGCGTCTAATTAGTCCTAAACCTTTCAGCCTATTTCAACAAATAAGGTATCAAGATGTTCGGCTTTCTCAGGACTATGCAGTTCTGACTTTTGGTGTTCAAATCTTTTCAGCTTTTTAAGATATTTAACCTTTTAAGCCTTATTCCTCTCGTTGAAATGAATGCAGCAAAAAGTATGGCTCCCTCTGCTGGTCACTGGCATTTTAGCCCCTTCAGATTTTTTAGCCCGTCAGCCTGTGGTATAGCCCAGTGGTATATCCCAGTGGTATAGCCCAGTGGTATAGCTCAGTGGTATAGCCCAGTGGTATAGCCCAGTGGTATAGCTCAGTGGTATAGCTCAGTGGTATAGCCCAGTGGTATAGCCCAGTGGTATAGCCCAGTGGTATAGCTCAGTGGTATAGCCCAGTGGCATAGCCCAGTGGTATAGCCCAGTGGTATAGCTCAGTGGCATAGCCCAGTGGTAGAGTGTATGACTCCAGATCTGGAAGTCGCTGGTTCAAATCTTTCAAATTATCCCTCCATTTAGTCTTTTTTCTTCAACTCTTCTGTTTCCTCCATTCTTCTTTTACTCTTCAGTTTTATGTCTTTTTCAGCTTTTCTTTGGCTTCTTCTTCTTCTTCTTCTTCTTCTTCCTCGATTCAGCACTTGGCATTCTCCAAGCTGTTCGGCAGGAACAGCCGTATGCTAGTTTATATCCTTTGCATGCTGGGTTAGCACAACCTCAGCATGTTTTCTTAATATTTGCATCAGGGGGGTCATGCAGGCCAAATTCAGCCCTCCAAATACCTCCATCCACCCACTGTTTCTGCTTATCTGACGTCAGGGAAAGCAGACATCCCCGTAAGTAATCCAGGTGGAGTCCTCTGGGTCTCCTCCCCGTCAGATGTGCATGGAAAACCGTCAAAAAGAGGCAGAACCCTCATCAGACGCGGAACCACCTTTAATCTGCTGGTTATTAAGAGTCTGAGCTCCCTCCAGATGGCCAAACTCCTCATTTCATCTCCGAGGCTGAGCTGAGTTCATTCATGAGATACAATTCAAAATAGTCAAATTTTTAGTGACTAGCCTGTTGCAGATATGTTATAGAAAGCACCCTGGCTGCTGGGAGCTTTCAATACTCAGTGAAATATCCCTTTAAATTCCAAATGCAGACGGCCAACAGGTGGCTGGGAGGTTAAACTAAGTTACTGCAGAGCAGGGAGTCTTAAACTGTAGAAAACATCCAAGGTGAAACCAGAACAAGAGGCAGAATTTAAGCAAACGGGAAATAAAAACAAGATGGAAGAGATGAGACTGAACCGGCAAAGAACAGAGAAACCAAGTGATTTTTATATGGTCCCTGCCTAAAGATGACATGCCCAAATTAAATGAGTATTTCTCTTTCATTACAAACTCTTTTTTAACTATTTTGGCAACACAATAAAGGGTAAAAATGAGAATTGATCAGAGCTGGAAGCCTCACAGTCGCTGACATTTTATCAAAGTTACTGAGGTTGAATTAACATTCCTCTATTTTTTTCTGCTGCATTTGGTGGCGTTTTTGTTCGATTTCAGTTAAGATTTTGACATTTCTGTGGGCATATGTGTGAGAGGACAGGAAACCTGTTCAAAACAAATAAAGGAACTTCAAAACTGAATACAATTGCCAACACAGAACACAGAAATTGATGTTGTACTAATCTGTAAAAACTCAAACACATTGGGTTTAATGGGGGAAAAGCAAAGCAAGCGAAAGAACCCACAGTTTAAAAACCTCATTTATGGGATTCCTGGGATTTGTACATGTTAAATATTGTTTAAATGTGTGCTCCCGTGAGCACAGGAGCCAGACTTACCTCAATTCTGCTCCAGGACACAATTCAAACCCCAAGAGGTTTCTTTACTTTCAGGTTCCTGCCTTCAAAAGTACCTTCTCCGTCACATTTAACCCCTTCCAACAGCTATTTACAGCACAGGTCGTCGGAGGCTGCTCCCGCCTCCGCCTCCCAGTTATGTTGGTCCACAAATCAATATTTTCTCAATGAAACAGGGATGTGAAATAAGACATAGACGAGACGTGGGCCGGCTGTGGGGAGATGCCATACCATACCATACCAGCTTTATTTATAAAGCACTTTAAAACAACCACAGTTGATACAAAGTGCTGTACAATCCCAAAACACAACAAAATAAAAGTAGTTCAAAAACTAAGACATACACTTTAAACTAAATCTCACTTTAAACTAGATCTCGCTGGTGTTGAAAGCCAAGTAAAATAGATGAGTTTTAAGACGAGCTTTAAAAGTGGGCAGAGAAGGGGCCTCTCTGACCTGCAAAGGTAAGTCATTCCATAATTTGGGGCCCATAACAGAGAAAGCCCTGTCCCCTCTGAGCTTCCTTTTTGTTCTCGGTACCTCCAAGAGCAGCTGCTCTAAAGATAGATAAGATAAACTTTAAGCTTCGTTTTGTTCAGTTTTTTTTTTTACTTTGGGCTAAGAATGAGGGCAAAGCAGTGAAATGGATCCAATACTCACAAGGCTGATCATCTTGAACAGTGGAAAAAAAGAGACAGAAGGACGCAGAAGTAAAGGAAATCATCCTGTCCTCACTTTGAATGGGAGCTGAGGCATGACGTCAGCTCCATTGTGTCCTCCGCTAAAGGAAATAAGAAGCTATCACGCTCCTTTCCTCTGCGTTTTTAGCTCCCCACCTGCTCTTTAACCCTTTCATGCATGAATTATGATCATTTCAGTCAGGATTTTTTTTCTGTGTTTTTCAAAACATTATAAAAAAGTATTATTTTTTGGGGGGGAAACTGTGTTCATTCATGGATTTCTCCAGATGTCCACAAACAGTACATGCTTTAAAATGTCTTACTAATAAAATACTGTATGTTACAGTGTTAACATATTTTGACATTTGTTAACACAATGCATGAACACATAACTTGGCATGTAAGTCTCCTCCTATCCAAATATTCAGTACTGTCTCATCGCTTTTCTCACTCCAGCTCATTGATTAATTTGAGTCTTTCTCAGCTCTAACAGTAGACTATTGTGGACATTTAAAAAAATGTTTAATGCATCATGCTCCAGTGTTCATTTCAAATATAAAAACCCATAAATACACAAGAAAATGGCTTTTAAATAGCTGTCCACTCTAGTGACCTCTATGCATGAAAGGGTTAAATGGCAGCTGCCATTTTTTTTATTTTTTTTTCCAAAGTTTTCAGTACAACATTAATAACACAGAACAGTTCGACATAGAGAGCAGTTGGCAAAAATGCAGCCTGTTGAAAGTAGCGATCAATCATGAACCATTTTGAAGCACAGCGCACTTTACCCTGTAGGAGTCCCATTTTGACCAAAGTTTGTGTCCATTGTTTGTGTCCATTGCCGGTGTTTTCAGTCCAAGGTACATCGTGCTGAAGTTGAGAGGGATGGTGACGTTATAAACAGTTTGCATGACATTGTTCATCTCTTTCCAATATTTTTGGATAACTGGGCATTCCCAAAACAAATGATAATGATGCGCCTTTTAGGCACCCACATCCTCTCCAGCATCCAGTGTTCCCTTGTGAATAATGAGTGCTTTGACATGTTGTTATTAAAAAAAGTGAGATAGTTTTCCAGCTCAATTCTTTCCAGATATGTGATTTTGTTGTCTTCCATTGAGATAAACATACACTTTCCCATTCATCTTCAGTTAAAGTAAAGGTACCTTCATTTTCCCACTTATTTCCCTCTTAGTGTTTTCACATTGAGAAAAAGGACGGCCGGAGGTCTCCTCTGTGGGCTGAGAGAGTCTGTTTCCACGTCCTGGGAGGTCACGGATTACATTCCTGAGAGTGTTTTTTATTAAAGCATAGATCTCCAACCATCGATCCAACAACCCCCCCTCCTCCCGATGACGACCTGTGCTGTAAATAGCTGTTGGAAAGGGATTAAATGTGACGGAGAAGGTACTTTTGAAGGCAGGAACCTGAAAGTAAAGAAAGCTCTTGGGGTTTGAATTGTGTCCTGGAGCAGAACTGAGGTGAGTCTGGTTCTGATGCAGCTCCTGTGCTCATGGGAGCACAAATTTAAACAATATTTAACATGTACAAACCCCAGGAAGCTGTGGTCTCCTGCAGAACCCAGCTCTGTTAGAACAGGTCTAAAACCACGAATGAGTTTTTTAACTGTGGGTTCTGTCGCTTGCTTTGCTTTTCCCCCATTAAACCCAATGTGTTTGAGTTTTTACAGATTGGTGCAACATCAATTTCCGCGTTCTGTATTCAGTTTTGGAGCCCCTGCATTTGTTTTGAAACGGCTTCCTGTCATCGTGTTCAACCCCTCAAATGCCTACAGAAATGTCAAAATCTCAACTGAAATCGAACAAACTGTCTCTCAGAGGATCGGCCTGCCGATGCTTGAGATCAAACCGTCTGAAGCCAGAGTCCTTTAAACATATCGTATTTGAACAAGCGTTTTTTTATGCATGCAGAGGGATCTAATTACGCCGAAGCTTCAGGGGACACAACAAACACACCATTATAACGCGTCAAACACACCATTATAACGCGTCAAACACACCATTATAAGAGCGTCTCTCTGAGGTTAGCATCAAAGTATCTGTCAGGAAACAAGACCTCGGACTTTGATCCGCCTGTAAAGCCAAATAATTAACCAACAGCTTGCTGAAATATGGATAATTCTACCTTCATAAGTGATTTGAGACTAT